ATGAGCAGATAATGTATCCCCAACCACAAGGGGTAAGATGGACCCAATCAAGATTTTCCTTCTCAGAGCCCCTCTTTCCTTTCCAGAGCCCCTCTTCTGCCCACACATAGCCACACTTGGGTTCACCACCTTGCCCTGGCAGAGCTACATTTCTAGTTCCTCACCTACCACTCCCTCCCTGGCCTCACCAGACTTGTTTCACATTCCCTCCAGCCACCATGGTTTCCAGTCTTTCCCTTACTCAGCCCACACACCCTAAAACCTGAATTGCTCCCTTCACCCCAGCTCTCAAATCTATACCCTTCCCAGCTTAGGATTTAGCATGTGTTTAACTGTGCTTCTGGCTTTCATTTTTGCACAATAAAATTAGCAATATTTGTGTCTCCCACCAACCCAAATAACTCCAGCCAACATAATGGGGCACCCACCATGTCACATTCTTAACTCACGTATCCTCACAACTCAATGAGGCAGGTATCATTTTTATTTCCATTTTTGACAATTAAGAAGTGGCGAAGTCAGAGCCCAGAGGCTAAACTGTTATCGTTAGATTCTAAACTGTTATTGTTATCTTCTGGCTGCCTTACACACAACAGGCACTCCTTACAGGTAAGGGTAATGTTGATGTTGATTCTCCACAGGGTACCGGCTCAAACCTGCCCTGCCCCTGGTCCTAGGAGCCAAGTGCCCTGTGAATGTCAAGTGATTAAAACAATGCCCCATGGTCTGGGCTTCACCCTCGAGTGGCTCTCCTATTCTTCTGGTTAAGAAACTAATTCTTAGAGAGTTGGGCAAGCTTTAACTGTAGAATCACACTAAGGTTAATCTGGCCAGTCATTTGAAAACGGTCAATACCACAGCTGATAATTTTGGAGTATTGGTGCATCTTTACACCAAGATGTCCCCTATTTGTGGAAGGAAACTGAGAGGGACTAGGAATCTGAAGGTCCTCAGTAAACAAAAACTTGTCCTGAAACTATGTTATTGATTGAAGAGCAAACTCTATACCCCACCCCCACCCCTGGGGGCAGCACAGAGGCAAGGATCATGGAAATCAAATTGGTTTATTCATTCCCTTAATCCAAGGTCCCCAAGGTGCTATTTGCTTGGGGCAGGAAAGAGAAATCTTCTAAAATGTTGGTTAAGGGCCTGGACCCTTCTCATTCTCTGCCACTCTTTTTCCAGGAGAATCTGAGCAATTAGGGATCTAGGGGGGCAAACTGACTACAGTTTATCCCAAAACAACGTTCCAATTGTCTTTCCAGCCAGATGATAAATATGCAAGTGGGACATTTTATAGACTTTCCTGGAGGGCAATGCTACCAGCCCCAGGCAGACCATTCCCTCCCACTTAACCCCATCTGTCCCAGAAACGCCTCTGGCCAGCTGATTTGAACCTCTAGATCACATCTACTACTAAACAGCAAACCCAAGTCTACCTCAGAGGCTTTAAAGACGTCTTTTCTAAGGATTCTGGCTCTCGGCTCTATTCATAACCAAATGATCGCCAGCCAGCCTGGAGCCCCGGAGACCGGAATATGCATGGAGTGGGTAGCCTCTTCCAGGAAATCGGCGGTGGAGTTTTAAATTCTTCCTCCTCCATCCCCACCTCCCCTGAACAAAGCTTCAGGACCACCCTCAGCACCTGAGAACTATAGTCTATAGCTAGGCCTGGAGCCCACAAAGAGCCCAGACGAGTCCCAAAGAGCTAGGAAATAGGTTGTGTGATTTCTGAAACACCACCACCGCTCGCGGTTGCAGTTGGCTGAGTCCGTGGATGGGATTCCTTAATCTTGGTGGTAGTGGATATCTTTGAGCTGGCTATCATGGAAATTCTACCCAGTAAAGTTTAAATAGGTGTCCGGATAAGATGTCGCCTTCAATTCTTTAATAGAAGACTGGGGTGGAATAGGGGGACTGAAGCGCCAAAATAGAGACAACCACTCCACCCGTTGGGCGCGGCACTCAGGCGATCTGTAGCTGAGTCTTTTTATCTACCAATTTAATTCAAGAAAATCTGAGCGACACGACAAATTCAATGTGGCCATCACAGACCTCGTGTCTGCCGGGCATGCTGTAATTAGCACTGGGGACAGCTGTTATAGTAAGAGGACCACTCTGTGCCAAACTGGGGCCACTGTCTCCAGGACGCAAGGAAGGGTGTGAAGCTCTAGGAATTGCAGTGCTTTAGGAATGGCTCCCGGAACTCCGGAGAGCTAGGGTCCCTCCTTTCCGAGCCCGCGACCCCAGACGGCGGGCTTATTATTTACACAGAATGGGTTACTGGAGGAAGCTGGGCCTGTTCTTTTAGGCGGTTCCAGAGGCCACCCTAGCCGACTGCGCCCACTCTGGGAGCCGGCCCCTGGCGCACAGCGGCGCGGGCAGCTGGCTACCCAGCAGGAGCGAGGACGCGCGGAGGCGCCCTGGCCGTGACCCAGGGGCAGGTGCAGGAGCTGCGCTGCGCGCTAGGAGCACTGGTGCCCCCGTGTGCGGGCGGGCGCGGCAGGGAGGGGCGCCAGCTCCGGGAGTCCGACGCCAGGGCGTGGTGCAGGTGGTGGCAGGGGCAGAGTCGACACCGTACCTTGATTTTCGACCTGGCGACCGGGCGCTGCTTCGCCGCCGGTAGTCCATCGGGGCCCTCGGCGTCGCCAAGCTCCGGGGTTTCGCACTCCGGGGCGCGCGGGGACGAGTTGCTTTCGGCGCCTCCAGGCTCCCCCGCGCTGCTACCGCAGCCGCCGCTGCTGCTCCCACCGTCGCTGCGGCAGTCTTCTGGGGGGTCGTGTAGCAGACAGCCCAGTCCCACTGCAGAGGGAGGGGCCGCGCCCCGACACCCAGACACGCGGCGTCAGGCCCGCGCGCCAGCGGCAGTTTGACCTGCGGGCGGTGCCGCCGCCGCGCCGCCCCGCCCCGGACCTGGGCACCCTGCCAAAGGGGCCACGCCATGAGGGGTGGGCGCGCGAGCCCCCGGCTTGATCTCCCTAGGAGCTCGGGGATCTAAAGACCGCTCCTCGGCCCCAGTCCCCGCGCTCACGAAGAACTGAGGGGCATGCATGGCTGGGGACCCCACACGCCAAGTTTCCTTTCCTTGGGGTGGGGGTTGGGGGTGGGTTGACCTCCACCCACCTAGTCCGAGCGGGATCGACGGATCCCAGCGCGAACCCTGAGGACAAGGGCCTGGGGGTGGTCCCTACTGGCCTTCAATCCCCGCTGCTGGCCCACCTCGTCCGCGCTGCAGCCAACGGTCCCGCCGCAGGGAAATTAGAGACGCCTACTAGGGAGAAGGGGGCGCAGGGAATCTCAGGTATCCTAGCCTCAGTCTAGGTCCTCCTGCGCTTCAGTAACCTCCTCCTTACCCGCCCTCTTCGGGAAGAGGGGCATGGGGTGGGGAGTAACGCGGGTGGGCAGTGAGGGGACCCGCCGCCCCCGCCTCCACCCGGGAGCCCCGCGCCCAGGCCAGACCCCCGCGCGGTGCTCACCTGGGATGTAGGTGTCTGCCCTTTCCTCATCCGGGAGCTCGTCCCAGCTGCGGACGGCGACCCCCAAGCTCCTCCTCTTCACCAGGAAGGCTTTGGGCATGGTGGGGCCCCCTCCCAGGACAGCTGCCCCTTCCTCTTGTTTGATCCCCGCTAGGGCCGGTGGCTCGATCCCCCGCTCCCGGCGGCCAGAGCCCACCTTCCCGCCTAGCCTGCCCTCTCCCTCCGCCCCCTCGTCGCTGCACAGCCCAAGCTTCTCCCCCGCACACCCGGCGACTCCCAGCCTCCCGGCTCGGCGACACCTATGCCTTAAATCGCGGGTGAGACCACGCCGAGGAAAAAGTTTCATAAGGTGGAATAGAAAAGGCACCAGGAAACTTGGGAGTGAGCATGCGCCCTGCAACATAACGGTGTCAACAAGCTCGCTACCTGTCCGACCGGTTCCGGCGGCCGGGGCTGCCTGTTCCAGCCCTTCCTTAGGCATGAATGTTTGCAAAAGAATTTAACGTCTGATTCTTCCCCCCTCCCCTTAAAAAAAGGAACAACGTTTTTTAATCAATCCCCTATCCCACTTCCCAATCCAGGCACCCCAGGGCGCGCTCTTTGAGATAAACCTCAGGCCCGCTTCCTACGGGATTCTTCCCCAAAGTTGAAGCCTCCTGCGAGGTGTCCCCCCACCCCCGCTCCAAGTGGATTTGTCTCCGACAAGCACGCCAGAAAATGGCTCAGTTCCTCTGGACTTTGTGGAGCGTTCCCTGGGCTTGCTGAAATCTCGGTCGGCAGAAGTGGGAGGAGGCAGGGAGACTCCCCAGGAAAAAAAATCTGGTAAAAAAAAAAAAGGGGGGGGGTACTTCGAAGCTTCAACTCCCCATCACCTACGAAAATTCTCCAAATAACCAAAGAAACAAATTTTAAAATTCAGCACCTTTAGAACATGTTATTTTACTGATTCGTGCCTTACAACAGAAGAAAAACAAGTCGGCTGGCTCCTCCAAAGCAGCTTACGCCGCACGAACCCCTTCACCCCCAAATAAACACACACAGGAAACAAAAGTGAAGCGCATGTTTTGCAAAAGCAGCTTCGAAACACAGTTTAATCTTCGCCCACTCCCATTAATACCTCCCATAACCGTCTGCTCCCCAAATCCTGAGAGTGGGAAATACCTTGCCAGGAAGCCAATACAGTGAAGAGGGGCTGTGTCCCCTTACAGCTCCTACTGGGGAGGTGGTTGGAGAGCTCTGTATTTATTTTTGGTTTTGGTTTTTCGATCTACCTTTATACCTTGGGGCGGGGGGAGGAGGAAGAGGAGTTGGTAAGAGAAAGATGCCAAGTTTCTAAGAGCTTCTGTGCCGGCGTTGGGGTACTCGCGGTCCCTCCCACGGCCCCCGCTCGGGTTCACCCTGGAACGCACCGCAGTGTCCCCACGTCTGCTGTGGGCGCCCCCTCCAGTGGATGGTGTGCGAGCTCCAGGGGTTGCGGGGAAGCGTCTGGCCAGCGGTTCCCCAGTGCTCGCCGCTCTCCTCCGCGCCAGACTCACCTGTCTGTAACCTGACCAGCTGCACGCTCAGCCCATAGGGTCGGGAAATCTACACAGCGGTTTTCCCCCATCTTCTTCCGCCCCGGAATGGCCCTTGGGGACACAGCAGCCTGGTAACGGATTTCCCGCGCACGTAGAGGGGGCGCAGCTCTCCCGGGTTAGCGGAGGGAACAGACGCGCGAAACCTCGGGTGTGCCCTCAAGGGGTCACTTTCTCTGGGCTCAACTCTGTTAGGACTTCAGATTTTTTTTTTTTTTTTCTGAGAACAACCGACTAAGACTGAAAAAGACTTCGATTCGGGTAAGCCGAGACGGGGGTGGAGAAGGAAGACATTTCTATAGCGGCACAAGAAAGGCTTCTTTCTAGTCAATGAGACTGATGGCGCAGCTTCTGGGAGACTCTGCGAAGGTATTTTTATCTGCCAACAAACTGGAGATTTGCTAGAAAGAAGGAGCTTGATGAAATCAAAGTAAAAATAAAGCCACGGACTGTAAAGTAAAGCACAGAATTATCCTCCTCATAAAAATCTTTAAAACTTCACTGGTTTCCAAATTCCCTATTTTACAAAAAAGGCAGCAACCTTCATTAATATTAACAGATTTTTTTTTCTTCTGTTGGATTTCACATCAGTCAGTTCCTGAACCACTTTGTCCATTATGTGAAAAGATTATAGAATGTTGGGATAGAACATTAGAACCCTCAAAACACAACTCAATGTTCAGGAGATTTGGGGTGAAAAGTAACAAGGAGAATTACACTTTTATTCATGATTGTTGGATGCACACCTATTGCTCTGTATTTCTTTGGAAGAAAGGAATGATAATGTGTTATGTTTCTTAATCAAATTTGAATGTCATTTATCAATATTATTGTCACATAACCAATTGTGCCTTTATTGACTTTAAGGTTAGTTTTCTTTTAGGAGAGGAGTTGATTGACCATTCACTAAAAGGATGAACACAATTCTTTAAAAAAAAAAAACAAAAAAACTAAAACTCAGGGGCCTCCCCGGTGGCGCAGTGGTTGAGCGCTGGGTTGCGAAGCTGCCCGCAGCCTTTGTAGCGCGGTTCTATCCCCGGCCACCAGGCGAGGGTCCCACATGGCACCTCCTGCCGCGCCCACTGCTCCCCTCAGCAGTGTACTTCTCAGTCTGCCTGCTCTGCTCCCCGCTCTGGCTCTGGTGAATTCTCTCACCCTCCCACGCTTCTGACTGTACCCAGTGCTTGTATAAATAAATAAATAAATAAATAATCTTAAAAAAAAAAAAAAAAAAACTATGTTTAAAAAAAAAAATCTCAGAACCTGGAGTTGGAAGAGACAGAGACATAATATGGTTCACACCCTTTGCCTAGTGTGCTTGGTAGTTGTGTGTGTCCAGTCCTGTTTGAATGGTTCCAGAACCCGCGAGCTCATTTTTTCAAGATGCCTATCCTACAATTAGACAGCAATGGTGATGGAAAGCTTTTCTTCCTTTTTAGGGAAATCTCTTTTCCTTCCTTTCAATCTCTCCTCTCCCTTCTACCCTCCTGGGCTGCTAAGTCTACATGCCTGGTCCCCTCCACTTGGTAGTTTTTCAAATACTAGAAAGCAGCCATGGATGGATGTTCTTTCTCACTTAAGACTTCTTTTCTCCAGTAATATATAGTCAGGTTGAAAATAGACAGGTCCAAACCTGCTCAGTGGCATCCTTAGAGCATACAATTATAAAGAGACATTATAATGTTGGGGAAATACTCCTAATCTTTTTTGGCTTTTTATTGAAGTATAACATAGTGCTAGAAGAAATGCACAAATCATAACTACACATCGTGATACATTTTCACAAACTGAATTCACCCATAGAATTACAGCGAGATAAAGCTGCTTGCTCTTACTTAACATTAGACTACACACACAATAAGACAAAGGATAAGGAAAGTATAAGGATTATAGAGGAAGAAGTAAAACGGCCATTATTTTTATCAATATGATTTTCTTTTTTTTTAATTATTTATTTATTTATTTTAAAAGATTTATTTATTTTTATACAAGAACCAGGGTACAGGCCAGATGCTCGGGAGGGTGAGAGGATTCACTGGAGACAGAGCAGGAAAGGAACAGGCGGACTGATGAAATACACTGCTGAGGGGAGCAGCGGGCAAGACAGGAGAGGTCTGCCAGGCCATGTGGGACCCTCGCTGGCCGGCCAGGATCGAACCCGCGCTGCAGAGGCTGCGGACAGCTTCACAGCGCTGCGCTCAACTGCCAGCGCCACCAGGGAGGCCCATATCAGTATGATTTTCTATGTGAAAAACTCAAAATAATGTACAATTAAAATTTGTACCTTAGAGGGTCTCCCTGGTGCAGGGATTAAAGTCTCAGCTCTATCAAGCTATGGCCAACCACTGCAGCATGAGTTCAATCCTGGCCAGTGAAACAAACCCACATGGCACAGCAGACCTCTCCTGTCTGGCCTGCTATTCCCCTCAGCAATGTGTTTCAGATCTGCCTGTTCTGCTCCCCACTCTGTCTCTAGTGAACCCTCTCATCCCCTGCACCTCTGGCCTACACCCCAGTTCTGGTGTGCATAAATAAAAAGAAATCTTTTTAAAAAAGATTTATTTATTTACGCATACAGGAACATGTTATAGGCCAGAGGTATGTGGGGGTTGGGGGGAGGGGGTGAGAGGATTTATCAGAGACAGAGTGGGAACCAGAACAGGCAGAATGATTGAAATACACTGCTGAGGGGAGCAGCGGGTGAGACTGGAGAGGTCTGCTGCGCCATGTGGGTTGCTCCCTGGCCAGGGATCGAACTCGTGCTGCAGTGGCTGTGGTTAGCTTCATAGGTTGTGTCTTAACCCCTTGTGCCACCAGGGGGTCCAATAAAAATAAATCTTTAAAAAAAAATTGTACATTGGAGTTAATAAGAGAGCTTTATAGAAAATCTGTGTGAGTGGTTGCCTTTCACATGTCAGTAACAGCTAGAAAAGTTGAAAGTGTCATGAATAAAATGATTTCCAACCGAAATATGTAGTGCCGTCAAATAAGATTTTAAAATATCATATAAGGTCTTTGCAGATAAAATTAGAAAAAAAATTTTCTTGGATGACATTAAAGAAGACATTAATCATTGGAAAGATTTACCATACCAATGAATTAGAAGGTTATGAATGAAAAGGAGGTTAAAAAAAATCCCTAAATTCATTTGCAAATTTAATATAATTTTTTAAAGATTTATTTATATATGCACACAAAACTTGCGGTGCAAGCCAGAGATGTGGGGGGGTGAGAGGATTCACCAGAGACAGAGTGGGGAGCAGCACAGGCAGATCTACTGAAATACACTGCTGAGGGGAACAGTGGGCAAGACAGGAGAGATCTGCTGTGCCATGTGGATCAGCTCCCTGGTGGGGGATTGAACTCATGCTGCAGTGGTTGTGGATAGCTTCACAGTACTGCATTTCAAGCCCTGCATTTCAACCCCTGTCCCTGGTGGCACAGGCGGTTGAGCTCAGCACTGTGAAGCTGTCTGCAGCCTCTGCATTGCAGGTTCGATCCTGGCCAGCCGGCGAGGGTCCCACATGGCGCTGCTGACCTCTCCTGTCATGCCTGCTGCTCCCCTCAGCAGTGTACTTTGTCAGTCTGCCTGTTCTGTTCCCTGCTCTGTCTCTGGTGAGTCCTCTCACCCTCCCGCATATCTGGCCTATACCCTGGTTCTGGTATAAATAAATCTTTAAAAAAAAAAAAAATATCTTTTTGAGCATAGGATAGAGCAGAATGTCTTCAAACACAAAACACGCCATAAAATGAGAATACTTGATAAATCTGACTGCATAAGAATTAAGAATGACTTTATCAAAAGACACAGTAAGTAGAATAATATACCAACCAACACATTTGGAGAACTTTTTGCAAAACATTTATCTCATAAAGGATTACAATCCACATTACATAAGTAACTCTTATGCATGAAAAAGAAAAAGACAATCTCAATAGAAAATTGGCAGAAGATATGAGCATACATTTCCTAAAGAGAAAACATGAATGGTTCATCACCATATAAAAAGATGCTCCGTCTCATTAGTTAACAAGAAAAATGCAATGGAAATTAAATGACAAAATACTATTTCACATTTAGCAGACTGGCAAAATGAAAAAGTTTGACAGTATTAAGTGTTGATAAAGAGATGGAACAATGAGACTGTTCACATATTGCTAATGGGTGTATAAATTGATTTGAACATTTTGGTAAAGAGTTTGACTTTATATAGTAAAATTGAACACACATATATTGAATGAGACAGAAAGTTCACTCTAAATGTTGTAATCTAGAAGATGTCTTACAGTTTTATAGCAAGAGCCACAGACAAGAGTACTCATAGCATCACTCATCATACTCAAAAAATTAAAACCTGAATACGACCCAAATGCCCATCAACAACTGACTGGATTAATATATTTTGATATGTTCATAAAATGAAAAATGAATGGCTCACAGTCACATACGTTAATAATGGAAAATCTCAAAAGCATACTGTTAGGTGAGAAAAGGCAAGCTACAAAAGAATTATGCAGAAAATTCAAATTATTTTTCAAAAACAGATCAAAATAAACAGTATCTTTCTTAAGAATACAAATTTATATGTTAGGCAAAATGCAACAACTTGGAAGACTCTTTAGAACTATACTGAATGAAAATAGCAATCCCAAAGGTTACATATATACACACATATATATGTATGTATATATGCTTCCATTTACATAACATTCTTGAAATAATAAAATCATAAAAATGGAGAAAAAAATTGTATGGAACTAAATACACACATACTCACATTTACATAAAATACAAGTAAAACTGGGTAAATCTGAGTTAGATCTGGGGATTGTCTCAATGCCAACATGCTGCTGATGGTACTGTACTCTTGTAAGATCTACCATTGGGAGACACTGGATTGAAAGATACTCCACTGCTTGTGACTGTATGTGATCTCAAAATAAAAAGATTAATTTAAAAAATTTAAGTTGCTTAGAGAATAGATCTTACAGGTTTTCATCGTGAGAAAAGAATTGTAATTGTATGCTGATGAATGTTAACTAAACTTACTGCGGTAATCACTTTGCAATATATCCATCCATTATATCTTTATGTTACAAAAGCTAATAAAATGTTATGTCAATTATATCTCAATTTAAAAAGCATCAGGCGGGCCACCTTGGTGGTGCAAAGGGTTAAGAAGCAACCTATGAAACTATCTGCAGCCTCTGCAGCACAAGTTCGATCCCCCGCCTGGCCAGGGAGCAACACACATGGCACAGCAGACCTCTCCTGACTCGCCTGCTGCTCCCCTCAGCAGTGTATTTCAGTCAATCTGCCTGTTCTGTTCCCCACTCTGTCTCTGGTGAATCCTCTCACACACACCCCCCACACCTCTGGCCTGTACCCCAGTTCTTGTATGCATAAATAAATCTTTTTAAAAAAACAAATTAGAAGCACTAGGCAAGGCAAGAAAATGATCGATTCAATTTGTTTTTTCAGGATAGTGATGATCACTTGGGGAAAAAGCAGGTATAAAATTAGGGAGAGACAAACAGGGTCAGGGATTTCAAAGTACTGGTAATGCTGTAATTTCTTAACCTGGAGGATAAGGATAATTGTTGTGTTAATTTTGCCATGCATACATATTATATACACTTTTGTCCATGTGATATATTTCACAATAATTTTTTTTTAAAGATGTATTTATTTATACAAGAGCTGGGGTACAGGCCAGATATGCGGGAGGGTGAGAGGATTCACCAGAGACAGAGCGGGGAACAGAACAGGCAGACTGATGAAATACACTGCTGAGGGGAGCAGCGGGTGAGACAGGAGTGATCTGCTCACCGTGTGGGATTCTCGCTGGCAGGCCACGGCCGGGATCGAACCCGCGCTGCAGAGTCTGCGGACTGCTTCACAGCACAGTGCTCAACCACCTGCGGCGCCAGGGAAGCCCCACAATAATTTTTAAGAGAAGACCAAATCAGCTGGTACAGTGGTACCTTTACTTTTGAGCACTTTCCGTTATGCATTATGCTTCCTCACAAGGGAGCCTGAAAATTGCTTTCCCAGACTCCTTTGTTACTGGGTATAAGAATGTGATCCAGTTTCCTTCACTGGGATAAACCCACAGTGCCCATTTAGGAAGGACACCTGGACAGGTCCTGAAGGTTATGTCCTGTGCTGAACCAGGATGTAGGAGCTGAGCTGCCCTGGCCCAAAGATGGCAGTGATGGAGCCCCTACTGGAGACACCAGGAACTGGAATTTAAGCCTACTTTCAAAATTGTTTCCTACTAAGACTTACTGTCTGTCTCCTTACTCTACTGCTCCTAGAGATTCTGTAAGCTACCTAACATCCTTTAATGAATTTCTTTTCTAATTAAATTAACTAGAATAGGTTTTTTAAAAAGATTTATTTATTTATTTATACAAGCACTGGGTACAGTCTTAGAAGCGCTGGAGGGTGAGAGAATTCACCAGTGACAGAGTAGAGAGCAGAACAGGCAGATCGATGAAGTACACTGCTGAGGGGAGCAGCGGGCAGCAGGAGAGGTCTGTGCGTATGTGGGACCCTCGCCCGGCGGCCGGGGATCGAACCGGCGCTGCAGAGGCTGCGGGAAGCCTCGCAATCCAGTGCTCAACTGCTGCGCCACCAGAGAGGCCCCTAGAATGGGTTTTGATGCCACATCTTGGGTCACCTATTCTGTAATTAGTATTGTCCCTAGGACCACCTAAGGATTTCAGTTGTTTTCTAACCAAGGACAAAGCTCTGGTGTCTCACATCTCCACCCTACGTAATTTAAAGCAAAAAGAATACTAAGCCACTATAGATCCATATATATATTTTAAGTCTCTTTCTTGGAGGATGGTTTTCAATGTTCTGATTAAATTCATTGAAGCCAAATCTCTTCTCTTCCCCTAGCTTCTTTCTTTCATGTTCTTGCTCTTCTAAATTTATGCCTAATATGCCTCTAGTCCTACACTATCCAAAATGAGAACCACTGGTTGGTCATATGTGGCTACTGACCACATGATCGGCGGCTCGTCTGAAATGAGATGTGCTACAAGTTTAAAACACACACAGGCCTCTAAATAGACAGTGCTGGACCAGTAGTGACTAGCAAGAAGAGTTTATGTTGTTTTGAAAGGTTGAAGCATCTGCCCAGATGGCTCTATATTGACAAGCTGTCAGGTCCTGTGGCAAAATCATTTAAATTCTCTGAGCTTCAGTGTTTCCATCCCTAAAATGAGACAATAATGTCTCTTACCTATCTCAAAGAGTTACTATGAGAATCAAATGGGATCACATTTGCGAAGGTGCTTGTCAGAAGCATTTTCCTATTGTTCGAATAACAATGACCACTGTTAATGGCACACCTTCTAGATGTAAACACTAGGTAATATGCCCTGGACGTATTGTTTCACTCAGCCATCCTTTGTGGGAGAGGAATACTCTTTTTACAGCCATTTCACAAGTGAGAAAACAAAGGTTTAGACAGGTCAAGAACCCTGGCTCTGAGGCCTCTCATTAGAGATGCACTAGGATGCCAAGAATGTGCATCCTGAGCTCAGCAAAAATCAGCAGTATGCCCAGCAGAGAGCCCGGGTGGCCTAGGATGTGCCATGGTGGAGGGGGTAGGGGACCACCTGGCCCACTTAGTCTGTAAACACACTCAGAATTATCCGAGAGGAAGATCTCCATGTCTGCTCCACTACTAACGGGCTCTCCCTGTCCTGGGGCACACCTGTGTCTGGAGAAGGGTGGGGAAGGGAAGAATCAACCTGCAGAGGACACCTGGTGTTCCCTCGGGCAACTGTTCCGCCATCTTCCAGTAATTGAACTTACAGTTCTGGGCAGGTTTTCTCCACCCCTCTTGAGGGAGATGGGCATTTAGCTCAACTAATTAGAGCTTTTAACTTGGCCACAGTGATTGCTTCAAGGGCAGAGCTGAGATCCAAACTGAACCAGCACCTGATAGGCACCATTGCTGAGACTTTCTCTTTTTCTGAGATTGAGAACAGATGAGAGACAACCTGGGGCAAGCAGCCACCTTCATGACCAGCAGCTGCCTGAGGATGATGCCAACACAGAGGAGAGCAAAGCCAAATGATGTAGAGAGCAAGACTGAGTCCTCATGACTGTACTGGATCTAGTGCTGGAGCCTCCCTATCCCAGGAGTGGTCCAATAAATTCTCTCAAATCAGCTGGAGCTGTGCTTTTGGCTTGATACTAAGAGTTTCTTAAATACCTATTAAAATGACACTTGATCATATTTCTGTTCTCCACTGACTCATGGAAAAAACAGTTCTCTATGAACTGCAAGTTGGCTTTCTCTTTTTTCCTTAAAGATTTATTTTATTTATGCATATAAGAACTGAGGTGTAGGCCTGAGGTGCAGGGGGTGAGAGGATTTACCAGAGACAGAGTGGGAAGCAGAACAGGTGGATCTACTGAAATACACTGCTGAGGGGAGGAGGAGCCAAGAAAGGAGAGGTCTGCTGTGCCATGTGGGTTAGCTCCCTGGCTGGGGACCCAATTCATGCTGCAATGGCTAGGGATAGATTGATAGCACTGAGACTTAACACCTCTGCCACCAGGGAGGCCTACAGGTTGGTTTTCTGAAGGCCACCAGACCATAAAAACTTTTTAGCTTACTCCTATGAAACAGAGGATATGGTTCTGTAAATAAGAACATACATGTGAAATGACAAACCTTCATCATTTGGGGTACTGTAAAATATAAATGTAAAGGAGTAGATGGTTTGGGAGTGAGTTGATTATCATTTTAAGAGTCACTTATAATATTCCTAAGACGTTTATAGGTATATAAGAATCCAGATCACAAACTGGGGTGTGTAGATCACAAGAGTTTCTTTTCTTTTTTTTTTTTTTTAGGGATTTATTTATTTATGCATACAAGAACTGGGTGGGGTACAGGTCAGAAGTGTGGGAGAGTGAGAGGATTCACCAGAGACAGAGTGGGGAACAGAACAGGCAGACTGACTGAAATACACTGCTGAGGGGAGCAGAGGGAGAGGCAGGAGAGGTCTGCTGTGCCATGTGGGTTACTCCCTGGCTGGTTGGGGATTGAACTCATGCTGCAGTGGCTGTGGACAGCTTCACAGTGCTGTGCTTAACCCCTTGTGCCATCAGGGGGGCCCAGATTTTTTTTTCTTTAACCTGACTCCAAGGTCCCATCCAGTGTGATGGCTTTAACTCATAGTCAACTTCTTCCCCTTCCCCTCTGGATCCTGTTCCCCCACAAGATGCATAAGAGTCCTTACTGTTTCTTAATCCTGAGCCTTACCAGTTTGGGCACCCTCCCATCCCTTCACCCACACTCTTGTATCGCCATCTCTCTTCCCCACTCATGACTTCTGCTTTCTTTAACGACTACAGGAGTTGTATCTTCAAAAGACTTTGCTTTTTCAACACAGACCTCTCCAAAGAGAGGAAAGCATGAATGAACACCTTCCTGATTGCTACAGATTGAAGAAAAAATTACTACTAGAACAAAATGAAATTGATATCTCAATAATTTTCCTACCACAAGACTTGCGAGTAACAACCTCGTTACTGATGTCTGTCACTTGCACTGATGTCTGTCACTGATGTTTGAGGGGTATTTACTGATCCATGGTAAACATTAACATGGAAGTCCCAATAAGAAAGTTATCTTTTTTGATTCTTCTGATTAGGTCCAGAGGAAAGTCTTAGCTTGGGGCTAATAAGTTTTTAACATCGTTGTAACACTGGCTAGCCTTCCTTTAACAAGAAAGCCAACTTTAGACTTTAGGCAAGCAAGCAACAGGTAACTGACCAAAATTTAATAACATCATTTTGTTGATCTAAATCTTTATGTTTTCAGCTTTCCTTCTATTTACGGCAATGCATTCTGGCTTTTTATTTTCAGTAGTGAATGTAAAGCTTCCTTTTTGAATACATTTATTTAATTATAACTTACTTAAAGATGTGTATTAAGTGGGTAATAACTATTGGTTGAGATTGTCCAAGAAGCAGATACTGAGGAGGGATTAACTGCACAAGAAATTGAGTAGGGGATATACCTGTGAGAGAAAATGCAGCAGCAACGGGGAGCAGTTTGTAGAGCTGTCTATTGGATGGGCATCTGCCCCAGTGAAGGCGAACAGGAAGGAAGGGAGGGTGAGTGGAAATGCCAGAACTACCTGCCCAGGTAGTTCTAAGGAAGATTCAGCAAAGCTTTCAGAGAGTCCCTGGCCAGAGTCACCTGTCAGTGGAATTCCATATCTCCTAAGCTTGTCTCAGTATCCCAGCTTTGTTTAATCACTGGCTGAAGCAACCCAACCAAGATCATTAACCTTCAGAACAATAGGAGATAATAGTTCTTCAAAGTCTTCAATTCAGGGGAAGTTCGTTACATAGCAATAAATACCCAGGCAAGTAGACACTGATATATATTTTTTAATATTTCTTTTTTTAAAAGATTTATTTATATAAGAACTGGGGTACAGTCAGAGGCACGGCAGGGTGAGAGAATTCACCAGAGACAGAGTGGGGAGCAGAACAGGCAGAGAGACCGAAGACACTGCTGAGGGGAACAGCGGGCAAGGCAGGAGAGGTCTGCCGCACCATGTGGGTTTCTCTCTGGCTGGCCTGGAATCAAACCCACACTGCAGAGGCTGCAGACAGCTTCACAGTGTGGCGCTCAACCCGCTGCGCCACCGGGGAGGCCCTAGACACTAATATTATCGTCACTTTAGAGATGGGGAGATGGAGGATAAGAGAGGTTCTCCAGCAAGATCAAATCAAGACGTGGCCAGTGAAGATGTTAGCTCTTGGGGCCTCCATGGTAGTGCAAGGGGTTAACAGATGCAGCACTATGAAGCTATCTGCAGCCACTACAGCATGGGTTCGATTCCCAGCCAGGGAGGTGACCCACATGGCATAGCAGACCTCTCCTGTCTCACCTGCTGCTCCCCTCAGCAGTGTATTTCTGTCAGTCTGCCTGTTCTGTTCCCCACTCTGTCTCTGGTGAATCCTCTCACCCCCCCCCCCATACCTCTGGCCTATTCCCCATTCTTATATACATAAATAAATAAATCTTAAAAAAAAAAAAAGATGTTAGCTCTTATTCCCTGAATCCAGCCACCCTGTTTTGAGACAGTTTGAAAAAGGAGGTTGTACCCAACAGTGTCAAGAGACTTCACAGCAGTAGTGTTCCCTGACAGTGGGAGATCTCTGCCTGAGCAGGTCTGGGGAAGGAACATGGACAGAAGCAAGATGGCAAGGTTGGAAGCATGAGCAGAAAGTACAGATGCGAAGAAACAATAGAGATAATTCCTTCAAGATGCTTGGATATAAAATGAAGGAAAGAAGCAGATTCAATCTGAAAAGAGTTTTTTTGTTTTTTTTTTTTTAATTTTTTTTTTTAAATAGAGGCATGTTTTTATTTATTTATTTATTTATTTGTTTTGTTTGTTTGTTTATACATGCACTGGGTACAGTCAGAAGCGCGGGAGGGTGAGAGAATTCACCAGAGCCAGAGCGGGGAGCAGAGCAGGCAGAAGGACCGAAGTACACTGCTGAGGGGAGCAGCGGGCGGCAGGAGAGGTCTGCGCACCATGTGGGACCCTCCTCCGGTGGCCAAGGAGCAGCCGGGGATCGAACCGGCGCCGCAGAGGCCGCGGGGGCAGCTTCGCAACCCAGCGCTCAACCGCTGCACCACCGGGGAGGCCCTGAAAAGAGTTTTACTTAGCCTTTTTTTATTGTGGAAAATTTCAAATACACATAAAGTAGAAAGAATAATATAATGAAGCTCCAGATGCACATCACCAACTACCCTAATTATCACATGGCCAACTCTTCTACAATGTATGTTGCGACTGGAATTATTTTGAAATACACCCCAAATCTATAATTTTCCTTGTTAATATTTGAGCAGGTATTCCTAAAATAATCATTCTTGACATGTGAGACATGTCAAGAATCTCCTTCAGGAACCCTCTCCATCTTTTTCTCCTTGTAATTAATTTGCTGAATAAGCCAGGTTGTTTATCTGGTAGAATTTCATACAGTCTAGAAGCTGTTGATTCTATCCACCTGGTTTTGGGTCCAGAATTTTAATCCTATCGGGGTCGATATTTTTAGAAAGGACAGTTGAGGTGATATCGAGTCCTTCCATCAAGAGGTACAAAATAGCTTGTCCTTCCTTTTAGTGGTTTTAGCAGTCATTGATGAGCATTGTCTATCTCCATTATTTCACTAGCGCTTTGCAGAATGTTTATGTTCTGATTCTGTCATTCTTTCCATATTAACTGGAATGTTGTATAAGGAAGAAATTTCCTCTTGTCAACAATTTATCCCTGAGATACGATTTACAGTAAAGGTAGGGCTATTCTTTTTTTTTTTATATTCCCCATACAATTGCAACCCCCTGATTTTGACCTCAATCCTTCCTTTCCCCGCCCTCCCTCCCCAAAGTGTGTCTCTATTTCATAGTTGTTTGTTGATTTTGATTTTTTTCTTTCTTATAGTTATCCTTTTTCCTGGTCCCTTATTTAGGTTTTCTAGATTCCTGCTATGAGTGAGACCATCTGGTATTTTTCTTTTTCTTTCTGACTTATTTCGCTGTGCATGATCCCTTCCAGCGCCATCCATGTTGCTGCAAATATTCTTACATTGAAAACACATTTGAGTGTCCTCTTGGCTTCATTGCTCTTTTCTGTATTCCACACTGGACTTTCCACAGTCTCTCATTAAAGTCACTTCATCCCCAATTCCTTTGATGCTTTGGTCCTCTCTCCTTTTGTCCAACTTAGATGGAAAAATCCTACCTGAAAGGTCTTAATCATTCTCTTCTCTGGACCTGTTGCTGAGCTGGTGAACATTGCAGGAGAAAAATTACAAATCTGGCTGTTTCACAGAACTCAAGCATGTCTTCAACTCAGCTCTATAGTCCAGCTCTGTTTCTCTAGAATATACCATTGATACTTTGGATGTGACTAGTGAGTTTAAGGACCTAAAATTCTTTTTTATTTCATTTTAACAAACTTAAGTATAAATTGTCTCACATGGCTAGTGGCTATTCTATTGGGCACTGCAGATAATAGAACATTCCCCTGATTATAAAATGTTCTATTATATT